AGTTTACTGTTTTTGGATGGAAAGGATTTTAAAATTTCTTAAAATCTTAAATAGAAATTCTTTGAGTAAATTTCTCTATTAATCAGGTTCTTGTGATATTAAATAAGCGTGTGAATATTTATATTATAATATGCTTATTTGGAATTAAAGTGGTTTACTGTTTCTGGATGAATAGTACTTTAAATTGCTTAAATCTTAGGATAGCAATTCTTAGTAATGGTTTGACAGTTAATTATGTTACAGTGTTATAAAACTAAGCATGTGAACTCTTATATTCTGTTATGCTTGCTTGGAGGTAATTGGTTTACATGTATAATCTGTAAAATCAATTAATGTATTGTGCGGAGTGGTTTTGATCAAGACTGTTAATTTATGAAATTTTAACAGGCTTGAAATGGAACAATTGGTGCTTATGTTTTAATATTTCTATTATCAATTGTGGATTTTATGGATTAGTTGATAGTTATAATTGTTATTTGTTCTATCAATTGTTGGATGAATTAGATTGTATGCATCGGTATGGGACGGTGACATACTAGGTTTAGATTAGCCCAAAGTGCTAAATCCTACCTATTTTGGAATAAGGGTACGGATTATAAAAATCATAATTCTCCTTATATTTAAGTCTGTGCGGTTGAATAAGCTGAACGACTTACTGAATCTCTTATATAAGTCTGTGTGGTTGAATAAGCTGAACGACTTACTGAATTTCCTATGGATGGATAGGAACGGATTTTAAATATATTATTATGATACCGTGACTTGAGCTTGAGTCTTAGAGTCAATGGTTAGGGAGCGTATATGCAATAGAACGCGTAGCTGGCTATGCTGGTTGAGGTGTATCATGTTAGGCTTAGGTAGTCATGCCCACTCAGGTGCGTTTTGCATGTTACCTTCTACTCAGGTTGAGACCCGTATCATAGTCCAGTGAGAGTCCATAGTGTGGATATATATATATATATATATATATAGACATGGATTATATAGTTATTATTGAGTTGGTTAGAGTGTATATGCGTATCGAGTCTCTGTTTGGATTGTAGTAGGATAGAACTTGTTTGTGGGTCTGACCCACTCCTATTTTTTAGGTGTACGTCAGTTCCAGGTTTGAGCTTATTCGTGCAGAGCAAAGGCGACCACTCATTCTTCCGACGACATAGGAGCTCTATTCATATGGTTTTCTCTTAGCTTTTCAGTTTAGTTTGGTTTTCTTATTAGGGGTCCACAGGATGGATTCCCAAGTTGTACCCTTTGAGGTTTTGGAATTAGATTATTATTATCTGGGATTTTAAGTATTTAATTTTAAAGGATTTTATATTTTAGATTTCTTTCAGCTTAAACTATTATTTCTTAAATTTATCTTATATTCTGTGTTCACTTTAAAATATTAATTGTTGGATATTCCCTCGGGTTTGGGTCTGGGCCTGATCAACCCGTGTCTTGGATCCAAGGGGTATCACACCTTGCTTTTACTGAAAGCCTTTGACCACCACTCTTGCCTTATATCTCTTGTAACCATCGTGTTCCTCTTTTACCCTATACACCTATTTGTTGTGAAGAGCTTTCTTCCCCATGGGCAACTTGGCTAGTTCCCATATTTTGTTGGAGATAAGGGATTTCATCTCATCTTCCATTGCAAGCTCCCACTTGCTAGCATCTTCAACCTGACATGCTTCATCATAGCATTCAGGCTCACCATCATCTGTGAGCAACATATAATCCAAATATTTCCTATTCGGTACATGAGGTCGTGTAGACCTTTTAGGTGCAGGCATAGGAGTTGGAATCTGCGGTGAACTATGTTCTGTGAGTTTTGGCCAAGAACCCTCATCTGTCTGCTCTGCATCAATGCTCTCTGGATCATCATCCAACTCAATAAACTCAGGCTTACTCTGTATAGGACTAGTTAACTGTGCTGCATCTCTATCCCTGTACATCACCTTCTCGTTGAAAATCACATCTCTACTTCTGATGATTTTTTTGTTCTGATTATCCCAGAGTCGATAACCAAACTCATCTCCGCCATATCCAACGAATATGCATTTTAGTGACTTAGGTCGAGCTTTCCCCTAGCATGGTCACTAATATGCGCATATGCAATACAACCAAAAACTTTCAACCATGAAAGATTTACCTCTTTGCCACTCCATACCTCTTCTAGTATTCGATGCTCTAAAGGCACCGATGGTTCACGATTAATTAGGTAAGATGCTATATTGACCGCTTCTGCCCAAAACTGTTTGGGTAGACCCGAATGTATGCACATGGTTCTGGCTCTTTCTGTCAATGTTCGGTTCATCCGTTCTGCCACCCCATTCTGCTGTGGGGTTCCTTACACAGTCCTTTCTAGTCTGATCCCATTATCAAAACAGAACTTCTTGAACCCAGTGTCTTCATACTCACCACCATTGTCTGATCTCAACCTCTTGATCTTCAAACCTGTCTTATTCTCCACCATGGCCTTCCATTTCTTAAACACATCAAATACCTCAGATTTGTGCTTCAAAAAATAAACCCATACCTTCCTCGTGTGATCATCAATGAAAGTCACGAAGTAAGATTTTCCGCCAATGGATGAAACAGTGGTTGGTCCCCAAACATCTGTGTGAACTAAGTCAAGTTTCTCCTTTCTGAGATCTCTGCCACTCTTCTTGAAACTGACCCTCTTTTGCTTGCCCATCACGCAACTCTCACAGAAGTCAATATCAATTTCACGTATGCCTAGTAGTTTCCCATTTGAGTGCATAATCTTGAGCCCTCTTTCACTCATATGACCTAGTCTCTGGTGCCAAAGGTTATGATCTTCTTTATTTTCTGCAACTGCTATAGACCCACAAGCACTAGTAGTTGTGTAGAGAGTGCTAGATTTATTACCACGTGTAATGGTCATAGCGCCTCTAGAAACTTTCCACGAGTCTCCATTGAAAGTTGTAACAAAACCTTCATCTGACAATTGTCCCACCGAAATCGGATTCTTCCTCAAGTTAGGGATGTGTCTCACATCCTTTAACTTCTAAGCTGACCCATTCAACTTGATTTGCACTTCACCCTTACCAACGATGCTGCAAGGCTAGTCATCACCAAGATACACCTTGCCAAGGTTACTCGGTTCATAGCTATTAAATAGCTCTTTATTTGAGGTGCCATGAAACGATGTGCTAGAATCTAAAACCCATGACTCGGCCTTGCTCTCAAAAGAGCATATCAATGCATCATCTGATTCTTCTGAGACAAAGTTTGCTTTAGTTTTTCTTTCGGTTCCCTTCTTTGGAAGTCTGCAATCAACACGGTAATGTCCCTTCTTTCCACAATTCTAACACTCAACGTCGTTGAGATCTGTGGAATTCCTGAAATTTTGAGACTGTGTCCTTCCATTCCTTGATTTGGATCTGCCTCTGTTTCTATTATTGTTGCCCTTCTTCTTGTTTAAACCCTTGCCTCTGCTTTCAACATTCAACGCCGAACCACTGGTGGAAACCCTTACTGTTTGCTTTCTAATTTCTTCAGTCAGAATCATGCTCACAACTTCATCAAACTTCAACTTAGTCTTCCCTGCAGAGCTACTGATCGCTGTAACTGTGCCACTCCAACTCTCGGGTAACTGCCCTAGAATTAGCAGTGCTCGGACCTCATCTTTGAAGTCGATATCAACAGACTCTAATTGCCCAACTATCTCGTTGAACGCATTTAGATGTTCGCTGAACTTACCACCTTCGACCATCTTCATGTTGAACAACTTCTTGATCATGGAGGTGGATGTCTTATCTTCTGATGCCATTACTCCCAATCGAACGGACAGATCTGATCGAAAGACTTTCGGAATTTCGTCAAACATCTTTTGTACCCTAGGTTCTCAACCAAAGGCTCTGATACCAATTGTTAGAGTTGCACTACACAATCAACCGAATTTGATTCCAGTTGTTGTGGCAGAAACGTAAAATAACAATGCACGTTGTTCGAGGAATAATTAAGCAATCACAAAGAAAAAAAAAGTTCACACACAAGAACACAAGATATACATGATTCACCCAAAATTTAAGGCTACGTCCATGGAGCACACCGAACAAATTCACTATGAAAAAAATGAAGAATTACAAGGAGAATTCTCTCTCAATCTCTCTCAATTGCTCTCTCTTGTATTGGCACAAATTTTTCTCTAACTTTCTCACCCTATTTATAGAGTTCCTAAACTTTTCCTACAAGAATTTGCCTCTTGTAGAATCCAAAACTAATAAGGAAGTTAACTCAGATTAGGAAACTGAATTTTCCTTAAACCAATAAGGAAGTTAAAACAGATTAGGAAACTGAATTTTTCCCCAAAATTCAGTACTCTTGAAGTTTCCATATAATTAAATCTTCTTAAAAAATAATTACCTAATCAGACTCCACAAAACCACAACCGAAACAAGAGGAGCAAGTTGATCTATGATAACTGGGCCAATTTGACAGGCTTGTTAATATATAATTTCATACTCACCAGATCAACCAAACATTCCATCATTGGAGTTGAATAAGTGTTTCAGCTGTCTAATTAATGTGTTTGGCTTCTACCGCATACTGGGGTTTCTTAATCCCATCCTTGCTTCCATGATACTAGGTTCCTCCAAACGAACTCGACAGAGCCCTATGTCAATTGCTTTTGAATTGGCTGCACTATGTTTTTTTGCATAACACAATATTCTTGGTTACCCATACTATCACGTCTCTTCCCAAATCTTCTTCATTTTTTATTTATTTTTTGTGCTGCTGTTTTGCATTTGTTATTCATGCTAGCCATATTTAGCTTATTGTATAAATAGCTTCTCATTTCCAATATTTACTTATAAAGTTACAAGATTTTTTTCTCTATCCACATACTACAGTACTAGATTATCATGATTTATGATTTATTTGTAAACTATTAATTAAAAAACAGCATGCAAGTGTTTGGGTGAGCATCCCTTTGTGCTGCTTGATTCACAAATTTATTAAAGATGTTTCTCTCTCTTATGTTGTGAAGGATGAAAACGGAAGGACTTCCCTCAAGCACTTCATATTATGATGATGAAAAAAGGGATTTGGAACAGTTGCTTGAAGCCTTTGGCTCCATGGTTTCGCTGGAGGACATTGCCTCCGCTTATTGTCAAGCAGGACGCAATGTATACACGGCTGGCGAAATACTTTGTAATATGCACGAAAGCAATTCTACTTTTTCATCCAAGAATGAATCGAAGGGTTTAAGTGCATCTTCGGAAGAGTCATCCGACAATATCTTGGACAGGCCAAATTTTGCAGAAAGAAGTTCTATGGAATCAAAGCCAAAAAAATGTTCAGTGTCAATGGGTACTGTTGCAGTTGTGATTGGAAAGGAGTATGCTATGCCCAAGCCTATGGAAAATGAATCGTATGAACTGAACAAACCGTTGAAATTAAATTCAGAGGATTTGCCCATCTCTGAGATTTGGGATGAAAAAATTCCACCATACATTGCAGCAAGGGATGAAACTATGCACAAGGATGTTGAGAAATTTCTGTTTGCAACGCTTGGAGATGGCTTTCAACTTGGCATGGATGTAATTCGAGAAGTTCTTGGTAAACACCCTTAACTCGTGTGTCATCTAAACTTACTAGTGCTGCCAGCATTACAATTTAGTTTCAGCTTCTCTGTGGTTGAGCATGTGACTGGTATTTACGAAATAAATGTGATTTATGACTTGAAATCTATTATCAGAAGTGTCTTTTGGTAGTAGTTAATGCCATGGTTGTTAAAATCGCGATTCCAACTCATAGAATCGTGAGATTTTACGATCCAAATGCCCAAATTGATCCGAATCGCAGGAAAATCGTGGCTTTGGCAGAATCGTGAGTTGAATCGCCGGAATCGTACGTAAAACCGTGGAATCGTATGATTCTATACGATCCCAACGATTCTGAATTATCCATGATTATGGCCTTGTTTTGGGTTTAAGAGTTGTGAAGAAACCCTAAATCGATTATCACAGTGCAACAATTCTATCTCTTTCGCGTCCTCTAGCACAACTCCGAGAAGAGGAAAGATGCCGAGGACAAAAAGAATGCTAGGGTTTTGGTGAAGAAGAAGCAGAGGAGGAGGAGAGAGGGAACAAGAGGCTAAGAGAGCTTACCTGAAAAAGACGATAGGAGCTGCCGCTATGGAATTGCAACAGGGGAATTTTGGTCTCTTCAGTTCGTCTGCGCTGGCTGGGGAATTTCACTCTCAACAGATGGGCAAGTTGAGACTTGCCTAAAAAATATTGGTCTTGGGCTTGTACTTCTCTTGGGCTCTATTTGTTCTATTATACAACTGGGCCAAACGGGCTTTGCAAACTTTAAGTTTTTGAAGCCCAATGTAATATTTACATTTATATAAAATTTGTATTACATTCCAAAAACTAAATAAATTAAATTTTAAAAGAATTTGTTAATAATTTTATATGAACTTATTCTTTTATATATATATATATATATATAGATATATATATATATTTGTGTGTTTGGCTTATTTTTTATTTATTTTGAAAATAATTTCTGTTGAAAAAGTTAGTTTGAATTGTATTTTTATTAATTTGGTAGAATCTTACGATTTACGATCCGATTCTACAGAATCCAAAATGATTCTACTTTGAATCCCGATTTTAACAACCCTGGTTAATGCATAACATCTTGTGCCAATATTTACTTCATACTTGCCTCAAAATTAAGAATGCCCCAGAATTCTATTCAATTGAAATGCCGACATCTCCATAAAATTGTGTTCATATGCTCTGTTATTTATTTTTTATTTTTTTATTTTTGAAGGTTTCATAATTGGTTTCATTTCATCAATACGATTCCGATTCAAGTAGTGTTGAATTTTTATTATTCTTACTTTATGATGCAATCATCACCACAAATTTTCAATGCAGATGAGCAGTGTCTCCTTTTAATTTCTCTTCGGATTTCGTACTATCAATCAAATTTCATCCTCTGTATTCTTGTATGCCCTAGGTGTTACTTTCTCAATTGTTTGCTTTGGTTATTGTAGTTAAACCTTTACATCACTTGCTTAATACGTGAACATAATCAAACTTAAGATGGTACTTGCCTCTTCCTCTCATTCTTCAGATTATAACTGCAATGTTCTTGTTTTCCATATTAAGTTCACTCGATGAGGTTGATATCATATGTAATCATAAATTGTCTTGATTTTTTGCAGGGGTATGTGGGTATGATGTAAAAAAGGTAAGTGCACATTCATTTTAAGATTTCAGGTACTCAATTTTGCCCTCAACTTAATAATTATCTTTCCTCTTTTTTTTTTGGCCCTCGTGGTATTTGGGCTTTGGTAAGTTTAAGTATTTTACTAGTAATTGGCCTTCTGATTCAACTTGTTAAGGTGTATGACTTTCTAGGCTAAGGTGTCTTTTCCGTTGAATTTTTTTTTGTTCGCATACAATGTCTCCAATGTCATCTGTTTTTCAGATGTTTTTTTAATTTGGTTTAGTAGTTAGTACACATTCTTTTGCTCTTGCATGTGTGGCACATGGGTGCGACAAGCCAAAATGCATGCCGTGCACAAGCATGCAAAAGTGTGTGCACTCTGTAGCAGTATCTTATTTTTCAACGTACTTCCATTGTGAATGGTTTTTATTTTTTGTAAAAGTGTCATACAGATGAGGTAACCCTAACAGGACTACTCTTAGTGCTTCTGGAACAGGTGGATGCTTTAATGTAACATAATTTACATAATAAGCATCTATAGGAAAAGCAGGACTGATATCTTCCACTGCTAGAAAACAAAAAATTGGCCAACTTTGTCATATGATATTTTGTTTACCTTTAACTAACTGTTGATCTTTTGTCTTTTGGTGTTCATTAGAGCATGGAGAAACTTGTCGATCTAACAGCATCCTCTTTGGAGAAGAGTGAAGATGTTCTAAGCGTAGGTGCTCAAAAAGTAAGAGTAGTCCTAAACATTCAAGTACCAATAAATAATTTTTGATCTTTTTGCAGATTAAAAAAGGCTGAATGTAATATCAATCCTTACTTCTGTGTTGGTCCAGTGACTAGCTCTTATGTTTATGCATTTGCAAAGAAACTTGATGTTCAAGATTGATGTGGAAAATATAAAAATTGAGTCGAACTGCTACGATCATTTATGAATTGGTATCAATGTTTGATATGTTTGTTTGTTCCTTATGGGTAAGTCACATTCACAAGGGTAAGTCACACTCACACGTCCACTTTGTCTGAATTAGGTTTTGGATGCTCAACCTCCTCTTTGGGAGGTGGAGGAGATACACTAAAGTTGATGCTTGATTATTAATATGAATGTTCTATCAAAAAGAGAAAAGAGAGGAAATACCTAGATTGAGTTATATACATAATTTTTTAAGGATAGTTACATTGGATTTGTCGAATTTCTTGAGTTCCATTTACTTTAATATTAATATCTGGAGATTTTTATAGCTTTCAACAATCAAAATATGATAAAAACTGAAAGCTGAATGTGCATAATGTATATAGGGTGAGAGGCAGAGAGAGAGAGAGAGAGAGAGAGAGAGAGAGAGAGTGAAGCCACCGTCATTCCCCTTGTGGGGCACACCCTGGTCTTTCTATTTCCTTTTTATTCTTATGGTGCTCACTTCTCTATCATTGCCATTCTTTAGGGTGGTTGTTAGAGAATTGAGACAATAGGTTCTATGTAATCTGTATCTTGAGAGAATCCAAGGCTATCTAATGCTAATTAGATCAATACTACAATTGAATTTAATAAGGTCCTCATTCCAGTATTATTTTTCTTTATCCATCTTTTTTTTTTTTTTTTTCCTGTAAGGTCTCTAAGGTAACACATGCAGTGGAATAATATCATTAGGTAAATGTTCTTTATTGGAATCGGTGTTTTCCATTATAAATTGTAGGGTTTTGGTTGTAATATCTATATCTGCTATTTTGTATGATGTCAGCTACCATTGGATGGTAATATATGCATTCTGCAGTTGCTTTGATAGATTGAATGTATGAACATAGTGGTGCATTCATGTATTTGAAAGCTTTGAATTTGTAATCTTTTGGTCATATATACTCAACAAAATCTCACTGTATCCTTGTGGCTTCTTTAAAAAGTTGTGTTGATTTTCATTCGTAGAAATTTCCAACTATACAGTTTCAGGAATGTAACATTGTAAAAATGGAAGTTGCTAAATTTTTGCCACATATTAGTAGTCGAAGTTGAAAAGAAGACATTGATATGGATGGCTGAAATACAAATAGATTAGGAAATGAGTGAATCTTGAAAAGTTAAGAGTTACCATTGCATGAAGATGAATTAGAAAATCAGATCAGATGGGAGATAATGTGCAACAACGAGAGACAGTTGAGGGTACTACAAGAATAAGAGGTCACAAGGAACATGGGTAAGGCAGTGAAAATGAGTAAGATGACCTATGGTGTATAAAATTTGTGTCCCTAGAGTCGGTGGAAGTGAAAGGATCTGTGTAGGCTGTTTGGAAATTATTTATGAATATGCCAAGTAAATTTGTTGAATTCAGATAAACAATTAAATGAATCAAGTATTTAGAGCAAATGCATTGGATACCATGTGTACGATATAGGCATTGTTTTTTATCTTGATGTTTATACTTGTTTTATAGATCTGATTTAAGCTCTCATAGCAGCCTATGGAGAAATGTTCAGACCTGGAATCTCCTTTATGTCAAGAAAAATCGGACCACGTAAATTCGGCTCGAAGGTATGTGTTTCATTTCTAGCATGTACTACTAGCTCATTTCTGGGATCCAGGTTTGCTAAGGAAAAAAGGTCTCTTGTAAATTACTTGCCTTGAATTCCAGACATCCTTTCGTGTTTGTAAATTCATTTCTAGCATGTACTACTAGCTCACTTCGAGTTTGTGTTAATAACTATTAGAAAATGTATTTCTCCCTTGAAGATGTGTAGATATTGCAAAGAATATAGAGAATACGATCACTAGATGCTTGTTCTTTGACTTTTCTGCATGTCTTGGATTTTAACACGGTTTTCTGGGAGTCTCTCTCTCTCTCTCTCGGCAAAAAAAGGATTAAAGTAAAAAATGAAGAGAAGTAAAAAAGTACTATTCTCTGGTGTGGGTGAATTTCGTAACCTTAGGAAAAAAAAGGGTGAATTTCGTAATTCTCGTGAAAACTAATATGAGTTAATTTGTATAATTTATATAAACATATTAACTTGAAAGGAAGTTTCTTCGTATTAAATTGTTGTAAGAGGTGCATAGGCACTGAATATATCAATACCTTGAATCAGTAAACTAGCCCCATATCATGAGTGCTGGAAGCCTGTGATGTTTCTGTTCATGAACCCTTCCTTCTACCAAATTGGGGTTCTTCTAATAGTTAATTGTTTTAGGAAAGGGTAGCATATAACGACATTATAATCTAATATTGGCCCTTTTCATACTGATAAAATTATAATAGTACTTTTTGCTAATTTCCTCTTTGTATGCCTTCGGAGTGAAAAATCTTCTTATATAAGCTAAGAAACATGGATATTCCTGCAGAGTTGTCCGTGTTGGACACATGTTTGACATTGACACTTCCCAAACATTCCTGAACATATATTTATCAAAAAAAAAAAAAAAAAAAAAAAAAAAAAAAAAAAAAAAACAGTCCTGAACATGTATCCGGCACATCATTTGACTTGTTCAAAATTTAAATTTTTAACTTTTAATTTTGGACACAGGGACATCATGTCTTTGACACTCTTGTGTAATGAATGAATCTCGTACGCTTGATACAACTTTCTTGTAGTGTGGAAAGAAGTATTACCTTAGAGAAATAAATTTATGTTACTTTTGGGAGCATCAAATTTCTTGTAGTGTGGAAAGAAGTGTTACCTTAGAGAAATAAATTTATGTTGCGTTTGGGAGTATCAAATCAGCGGATTAGATTTGGAATTGAAACAAATTTAGTTTAAAGTTTTAACTAAATTTCCTCCAATTCCAGTCCCAAACATAGCATAAAGGTTTACATAATATATATAACCATACTTGGGAGAAAAGGTTAAGGACACGAGTGTATGAAGGTTTTAAAGAGAGAGTACTGGAATAAGAGAGGAGTCACCATGATCTATTAAGCTGTATGGAAATATACAAATCTACATACGCACACATATATGATATTCCTTCGTCCTTTCTATCTTTCAGTTGTCGTTTATAATTATAATTCATAAGTTATAAATAAATTGTATACATGTATTATAAAGTAAATACAATGTGACGCTAATACTGATAACTCATTATTAAGTAGATGCCATTTGGTTTATGGCTTAATTTTGCATGAGTAAGTTAAATGTTTATGTACTTCCCTTTTATACTTCTTTTTCCTGCTAAAGTGAATGCTTTCTGGTACATATGCATGCGTCTCTGACTATAAAATGAAGATAAAGAGGATGGTTATCAGGCGCTACGCAAAGCTGCTAAAGAGTATTGGATTACAATGAAAGAATACTATAAAGCTGTAAGTCCTTTCAGAAACTTTCTACTGTGGTCATTTATTTCAGATTTAATATTTTTAGTGTTATTATTCAATCATTTGTATTAACGTGATAATAATGTAATACTTTCAGACTTCAACTGCTTCGCAGGCTGTTGACGCATTTGCTCATGCACGAGCATACAACGAGCATACAAACTTCTAGAAGAGGTATAATTTCTATGTTTTTTCTGTACTGATATTAATGCTTAGATTTGAAAACAATTCCATAGTAATTGTTATTTTTTTAGTATTACACTTTATTATCCTTTCCCCACAAAAAATAATAATATAATAATAATAAATAAATAAATAAGAATTCCTCTGTTTTCTCCTTGGTTATTTTACTCATGTGGAGTGGATATATATCACCTTAATTGGTGGGCTAGAGATATCTTATAAACCATGTGAATGGAGTTTAGCATCTAGACAGTTTGTAATCAACTACATAGCAATGACAATTGACAAGTTACCTTTATTTTGCCATGTGTCATCTATAAACAATTTATATTATGAAAACTTCCACGGAGTAACTGAGTTGGCATAAGGTCTCTGAGCATGACCCAGAGGTATTCTGTTTAATTTATGGGGGTGTCAAAAACCTCTGTGGATTTACCCGTGGTTTACGGGTGATTATGGGTATCTAAAAGAATTAGTCTCGCTTTCCAAAGGGAGGGAGGACACCGTCTTTTATAAAAAAACAAAAATAAGAGTTTGTATTAAGCACATAGTGACACACTTACTTGCACAATTTCAAACTTTCTTGTTATCGGATCTACCATCGGCTGAAGATGCCAAAAGACAGGCCCGGAAATGACTGGTATGATGGTTTTTAACTGGAACTTTCTCTATCACTATTTTTGGCCACTTGGGGACTATAGTTAAGATCACAGCCCCAGTCAAACATGTTATCATATTATTACTTACTAACTCTACTCACGTTAATTAAGTATTAAGAAATTGAGCAGATTTTTTGTCAAGTCTGTAAATTTCCCACCGTAAAACTCAACTCAATAAAGCTTTTTCTCGACCACTTGAGAGGTTGGCTATATGAATTATGTTTTTCTATTCTGCCCTATTTAAGGACGTAGTCCTAGTCAAACCACATGTTCTTTTATTTCATCTTAACATCATCATCTCCAATGTTAATGTTAGGCAAACCACATATTATCATATTTCTGTGACATTTCTTAAATTCTCTGGTACCGGTGGTGGGTGCTGGTGTTTGTCTGGGTTCCCGATAAGCATATTTTACATATAAATAGATGGAAAGACATTACTGAAGCATTGGAAGCATTTTTCTTTACGTGTTATAGTGGAATAATGTAGCAAGTTCAGTTTGGGTTTTACACAAATTAAACCCATCAATGTAACAAAGCTGCATATTCAGAAAGTTTCGGCAGAGGAACCTAAGGTGAACAAGAGAAATGTTTTTGTCTTCTCCATTGGACCCACTATTAGGTATATGTCTAAAAATTGGTGTCTTGGAACCATGTTATACCTATGCATTTGCCATGGTTATTTCGCTCTCCCCATATTTTGTTCAATGTAGTTTGATGGTACATGTTTGCATCATCCTCACTTGTTCAGCTGAGTACTTGAAAGAAGGGGAAAATTGATATAATTCTGAAATTCTTTTGCAGGTTTTGAAGCTTCTGGAGAGAGAATCCATTAAATGGACTGAGGAAGTGGATGGTTGGGTAATTGTGATCCGAATAGATGAAATCAACCCAAAACGTTTGAGCTTTGCTAAAAAGGAGTAACAGATCACCTGTAATGATGTTATTAAGAGCGATTTTAAAAAGTTAAATATGGTAGGTGAAATGGCACGTAAATAAAAAACTTTGAGAGAGAACTAAAGCAAGGATGATGATGATGATGATGATGATGCGTGTCAATTACCCAGGGAGTTGGTAATTTTTTTTTGGATACCCAGAACTCCCTTGGTCAGGTCCCTTTGAACCCACCCTAAGATAACAAACTGGGGATACTGCAACCAGCCCCACAGCTACAGCACAAGGTTAGTCAGGAACTATAATGTAGCGTTGGGGAGTTGAACCCTAGTCATATTAGATTCAAGGCCCTCTCCTTACCGCTGGACCAAATCCCTAGTAAAAATTGTTTGAATTTTTTTTGAGTTGTTCGCAACTTGGGTTGCAATACTTTAGAGCTATGTGAACTTATATCAACGTGGGACAGCAGTATTTGCTTGGGGTTTCGGAGTCAACATTTTGAACCTAACTCGAGTAAAGTCCAAACAACCCACTACCCGACTCATTTACAACCCTAATCGAGAATATTTAAGAATAACTCGTGAACTATGATAATAAATATTTAATTTCAATTTGTGAACCCAACACAAAATGTTCTATCATCCTAACTTAGTAGTATTAGTTTGGTCTCTATTATTGTAGCTAACATCTACACTCAACTTGGATAAGAATGCAATTAATGAATACAGTTCTAACTAAGCAGATATGGACTGATGGCCCTGACACCACAATAAGTGTAGGGCCCGACACTCTTTGGAGTATTGGGTAGGACTCATAATCATTGATAAACATTAAACTAGACAATGACGCATAAACAATGCAAGTAATGTTTATTTTTTATCTATGATTAACAAACTTAGGGGCAACATTGAAGTGTTACAAAAGACTTTGACTATTTGTCAAAGATCAAAACAGCTGGATGATTTATGTTTACACTTTGATGTTCGGCTGTGAATCAGTCCTCCTGGGGCCCACTCTCAAAATCAACCATTAATTTGTTCAGTTTCTTGTTGCTTATCCTCTGCTGGATTATCCTCTTATCCTGGTCGTAACTGTAGAGTATAACAAAGGGCAAATTTACAATGTAAGCATATATATATATTTATATATATACCACCAAATTCAATACTGATCAACGACTGACCTACGAGGTTGTGGGGATGCAAGGTTCAGCATTTTGGCAAGCTTGACCGCATCATCAGTGCGATCAACTACTTGATTAAAACACAGATATCGTCCGTACGATGAGATGTCTTCGTAGGCACAAATGTGGGCATCCACCAAGAAATTGAGATCGACGGTCACGAACAAACCGTCCTCGTACATCTCGGCTGCTCCTTTCAGATACGAGGTGGTGACCGAACGGTCAGTGACCATCGGCAATCCTGCATTGACACACACCATACTCACCCCTCGGTCCATTGCCAAGGCCCAGGCAGTCTTCTCTGCTAGTGTCTTGGAGAGAGCATGCCACAACTGCCCACACAATCCAGGGGCAAAATTGTAAATCAATATACAGAAATGGTTGTGCAAAAAAATGGAATTTATATAAAAATATATACAATATAATAAAATTAAGATTATATTGTATATATATTACCTTGTATTTGCGACAAAAATTGATATCACTCCAATGTCTCTCGTCTAGATCTGATGGTGATGATGAGTTACGATCGTTGCTCCAAACAACGGCGGTTGCTGAGGACGTAAATACCACCTTATAAATGGAGTCTGTTCGGGCACACGCTTCCAATACATTGTGTGCTGCCCTTACCTCCACTTCGGTCATAAATTCCTGAAAAATAAATCACTATTATTAAAATAAATGACTTTTTTTTCTTCAAAATATTACAATTAAATGTCTAATTTTAGGAACAAAAACTTTCAATCTTATATTTTAAAATTATTTGGTTAAACTTAAATAATTTTTACAAATTGCTGATATTTCAAATAACAAAAAGGACAACGTTTAAATTATATTCTAGTGCGAGTCCCCTTCATTGCATAAAAGGTTAAAATCTCTTTTTGCCATCACATCGGTTTGAAAAATTAGTTTTGAAATTTTCAACCATTTATTGACTGCACTAATAAAAATATAAAAGTAAAAAAATAAAATAAAATAAAGAAAAACCATCCTATTAAAAAATGACAAAAAAGGTCTAGGACTTGGAGAAAAACTCATGAGTGCACATCTATGCTTACGTTAATTGATAATTTTATATATTATGGTCAATATCAGACTGAGAAAGAGAGCAACCCCAGCAGGTTGGAATCAAGAAGCAATAAATATTCCACCCTAAATAAATATACCTTACCAATAAAATAAAATAAAATAAATATACCAACCTAAAACAGTAAGACAAACTCTGTATTTTTTTTTTTTTTATAACATCAAAATTTCGTAACTATTCACTTTTTGAATTTATAACTATATGGTAAACTCCCGCCTACTTATACCGATCTCATAATACTGATAGGTAAGCGAGAATTTGCACAAAGACAAACTTGTTCCTAGCGAAAGAGACATAAAGTTAGTCGAGATATAGAAGCCAATATGGAGACAATTATGAGACAACTAGCACAAATGATTTGGTGCAACTGTTTTCTGCCAGCTCGTGAGACTTTAGGGCACTTGTCATTAATTAGGATTTAGGATAATGTTCCCTCTAAAACTAGCACTTCTATATATCATAATCCTAACCAAAAAATTTATTATATTATATTGATACTGACAATTATTATTATTATTATTATTTTTTATTTTTTTTTACGCGCATGTTATATTCGGTTGCATAAGACGCTAGACATAAATGATATAAGTGGAATTAACAAATAGTGCAATATTTCATTCAATTTTTTTTATTGTACTTTGATTTATATTATTATTGATCAAGGACGGATCGATGCTCCCGCTGAATTTTTTTACTATTATGTATCTTTAATATATATATTTTTTGAATTATATACTTAGGAAAATTTTATGTTACTTCCCTTCCCTGGATATTACAAAGAGAAAAATAAAAAAAAAATCACTTTTGCTGCCCCTCACACAACTTCTTAGATCGTTCCATGTTATTGGTATATATATATAGAGAGAGAGAAAAATAAAAAAATGTGTAAAGTTCTTTAATATATTTTAGTTAAAATACAAAGTATAATAAAAGTGCTTTAATTCACGATGGCAAGAGGAATTTCTCGTAGAAAGTTGTGCACCAAAATTATATCGTTTTAATAAAAGTTTGTCATCCATCGACTCATGAGCAAACCTTCATAAACTCTAATTCAATGATTGAAGATACAAGACATGTTAGACCTCACTCATGTATTTCCGTTCAAATTAGTATTCAAATATAGGGGAAAATTAATTATTCATTCACAAAACTAATTACAAGTATATATATATATATGTATGTATGTATGAACGTACATCGTAGTTGGGTTGGTCTTGAGGAGGCTCAAATGTATAAAACAACCCAGAACAGCCCTTCAATGCATCAATTATGCTGTGGTAGTCAAAAGGGTCAGAACGAAAAATCTTCAGCTTCTTGCTATCATAAGAGAGACCATTGAATGGTTGATATTCAACTGCAAAAAAACCCAATATATATATATATATATATATATATATATATAATCAGTGCAATAAATATATATAATTAATATATATAATAAATAAGATCGATAAACAATAAAGGGTACGAGCAAACCATGATCTTGAACCGTGGCATGCACTGTGTAGCCTCTTTGGAGCAGCTTCTGGACGAGGTTTGACCCCAAGGGTCCTGAAGCATCCATGACACATACTGTTTTGGTGTTGTGGTTCAGAGAAGCTGGCGCCATGAGAGAGAAAAAGTTTTAGAGAGAGGAGACGTTTGAGGCTGAGAAAGTTAGATTACTGAGTTTGTATTTAAAAGGGGAAGGAGAGCTATAGCATTTAGATGGCGTGCCTAGTAAATGGTTGGGAAGTGGTTGTTAGCTGTGCGCGTCAGCTAGACACAGAGAGAATACATCTGGATTCTCTCCTGTACAATTCGAGAAAGCCTATAATATCCGATTTATGTTTTCAGGGTACCGTAGACTTTTCCGTGTCATTTTGTGTTCATTATAATAGTTATTTATTTCTTTCATCTCAAAGAAAGTGTTATACTTTCCTTTTTTTTATTTGTCTCAAAATAATTGTTCAAATTTTTTTTTTTTTTTCTTTTCAAGTAGTATATATCACATATTTCTCTATATGTCTAAAATTTTAAATTTGAATATTCAAAATTTAAAGAGAAAATTAGTAACTTTTTATGAAGACAATATATATTTCACATGTTCCCTTAAAAATTATTATTTTTTAAAAGTAATACTTAAATTAAGACGGAAGGAGTATTTTCTTTTTTAACACATTAATTTAAATAAAATATATTAATTTAATGTATTAAAAATAGATATAATTGTGTTAAAATATTTTATAACACAATTAATAATGATTTAATAACTGAATTCGATACGGTGGATCATATGACATGAATTCGATCTTAAATTACTACTTTAATCATAGTTTGTCGTATTGATCAATTCGTAACTCTTTTTTAAATGTTCGATATCATTACAAATTATCAATAATCGATTGATTCGATCGATTTGTATTAATATTCATTCGAATCCGTTATACTATATAATTGTAAACTATACTAATACAATGTTGTACAGGACGGAAGATCGGGGCTAAAGAGCATGCATTTAAGAAGTATTAATTGATTGATAGGAGGGGTTTGGTGGGGACGTGTGTTGTTGGGAGGAGGATATCCACAGCACCACAAGAAACACCTAATTGGGAGTAATTGCTAGTAGAAGTCTAGAAGATCCCTCGCTACCACTTGGTTAATTTCTTATAAAACAAAACTCGAAATATATATATAATAAGAAGTGGTCCAATGGCAGGTGAGGACATAAACAAACATAAGAAGAAACTCATCTTCAATTTTCTGAAACCGACATAGGCTTACACTGTACAACTGTAAAGCTTTTTACATCTGTGTAAAAGAGTTGGTACAATTATTCACATCATCAATTTGACATCTACTTTTTATATCTACATGTATTGTTTTTATTACACACTGTTTTTTTTTTTTCTTCCTTGAATTTCTGACCTCGTACAGGGAAGTAGGGTTTAGGGCGGATCACCAACCACTTGACTATTGATATCACCGAAGGTTTCAATACTTACACTTAATTTAATCTTGTCATATGAATTATACAGATTAAAATGAGACTTACTAGATTAAAGTCTCACCACTTCTTACCTGATTTAAAGTTGGTTTGACTGCTTTATTTATGCATTTTAATTTCAATATTGTTAACAATTGATAGTTAGAGTACTTGAAGTCTATTGATGATAATTGGGGACTCCAGCTTATGAACCTATCTATACATGGAGTATTTATGCATTTTTTGTTTTTTTCTTTCTAAATTTATGTGGTTTGATAAGGGAAATTTTGTTATGAAAATCTCAAAAGTATTTTATGATGTGTTCATGTATTGGTCCAGGTAAATCCATTCTATATAAAATAAGAAATAAATAAATCGAAATATTACTTTAATGAGATTGATACGCTTAGACTCTATATCATGTTTCTAATATCGTGTTGAATGATGTCATCTTCGCTCTTAAAGTGGAGTTTCATTCCTAGGACAACAATGAGGTGGTTTGTGATGGGAATCTCATTCTCCATTTTTGTTTGATTTTTTCACTCCATAAATGCTCTAAAATTGGTCGGGTTTTTCAAAACAGCCCCTATTTTTGTTCTCCATTTACATAATTAGTTTTCCAAAACTGTCCCAAACAGGGTAGGGCCACACCAAAATCGACACAAAACTCATCGATTTTTTCAAAACAACTCCTATCTCGTCACTATTTGCATAATCGGTTCCCTAAAACCATCATCAATAATATGGATTTTTGCCATCCCTATTTATTTTTCCTTAAAAAAAAAAGGGGGAGGAGAAGGTGATAATAAAGTGAATGTATAAAAGGGGGTGGAAATTTTGGTCATCCCTATTCATTTTTTGTTTAAAATTTTTTTTTTAAAAAAAAAAAAAAAAAAAGAGGGGTAATAAAGTAAATGTATGAGTATGTCTTTAACACCAAAGATATCAACGAGACACATCTATATATCCGTATGTTTGGGAACAAAATGATTTCTTCCTCATTTTTCTGCATTACATGGAATTATTGTAAAACTATAGAGACAAGAAGATAAATATATAAATGTAAATAATGGAAAGAAAATTATAAAATAGAATATTCACTCAATAATTTGATGACAGCAATGGTCCATCCGCCGATATTATTTAAATTCTTGTTTCCAAATTACATGGTAAAGTAGTAACCTCCTTTCTTTAAAAGTCAAATTCACATAAATTGCAGTTCAGAAGAAGCAGATGAGAGAAACGTACAAACTATTAGCAATTAATAAAGTTTATTGCAGATCTAATTTTAATTTGATCTTCAAACTAAGCTTAAAAAATGTATTATTTATTTATATATATATATCGTTACTGTGTAACCATTATTATAACCCTTTCGTATATTAAATATGATAGGAATTCTCTCACCATCTGATCATCACAGCCCATGCTTTTGGTACAATATCAAATTAACTTTATTAGTGGGATCATCTCTTTTAATGGTTCTTATTTCATAAATAGGTTTTTGCTGGTATACACAATATTGAGAAAAATATAAGCAAAAGAAAATTAAAAAGAAATTTTTGACTTAAGTCACATAAAACGGGAGCGAGAATAAGAACGTGAAAAAGACAAAATTAAATCACAAATAGTAAAAATTCGAACAGTGTAAATTAAGAGGAGACTAGAGTTTAGTCCCTCTCTCAGCGTGAAAGCGATACTCCTTACTAAAAATTATGTAAATTACAAAGTGACTAGGGTTTAGTTATAGTCATTAATAATGTGCAATGTTTTAAGCCTTTCAATTTTGGTTCCAAAACAGTGAAACTGTTAGAATAAATTTGATTTTAATTTAGACATCTAAATATACATATATCAATCTGAATGAAACCAAAATGAGTGGATATTTTTATTTGATTTAATAATATATGTAACACAATATATATATATATATATATATAGTCAAAAGTGAAAATTTTAATTATTATATATATATATATTAATAATTAAAATTTTCACTTTTGACGAAAATGAAGAGTCAATTATCTATCGTGAGTGTGTGAGTCCCTAATTCCCAACCACAATGAGACAACTCAATACGATGGTCTGCAATGCTATGATTGCACTTTAATTATTATTTGCGATCTTCACGCGAATCAATCCCCCATATGAAAATTGTGCCCTCTAATGAGGTTCGCTATATTATTCTTTATATATTATATTCTTTTCAAATTTTTATATTGATTTAGATATATTAAATTTAAAGTATCTTTCATTGCTCTTAAAAACAACGTATAAATTAAGATTTACATAGTTTTATATCTAATGGGGTTCACTGTAGATTTCTTTATTATATAATAATCCTTTTCAAATTTTTAGATTGATTTAGATACATTGAATTTGAAGTACCTTTCATTGACCTTAAAGGTTATATATATATATATATAAATCATAAAATAAGGATGATAGGAATTATTAGAAGAGGTAAAAGATAAATAATGATTAAAGGTTATTTAATCACTAAATATCTATTTATAAGGAAGAGTTGTTTGTGTAAAAGCCAAGTAACAAAGAGGCTAACCAAAACTCACTCTGAATTAAGTAATTAAAAACAACTCAAAAAAATCTAGATTTAAGAGAGATATAGTATATAAAAGGAAAGAATTTATGTGATCGACCTAATTTTTACTATCTATATGTTTCATATTAGTTGTTCATTTAAAAAATTTGACTAACTACCACATTTTTCTTTGAGTCATTTGAGATCATTTTTAGTCATATTCCTTTTATATACATGGCTTGGAGCGGGTTGTGACATTTTATGTATAAAATTTTATAAGTTCAAAGTTGTTTATAAATTTTATAACCTCTCCTTCCTCGATCAAAAGAGAGGTGAGAGTTTTGAGCTGTGGAATGGATAATTCTTGAAACGTGAAATGTGAGTGAGTATTTAAATAACAATAAATAAATAAGAAAATTAAAATTGTTTAGAGATTGATTGGGAAGCATGGATTATGTATATAAAAATTCAAATATGAAGATTCGTTGTACATTAAAGCCCAATCTGTAAATCTATTCAAAACTGTTGATTCCATCATCATATATGTTTGAATATTCCAACTTTTAGAGAATGATTATGATAATTAGGTTGATTTTTTTAATGAACCCAAATCCAAACCAAATCATGCAAACACTTAATTTGATCAGGCTATGCCAGGGTACCATGGGTGAATGGAGAGTATGGTTTGCCGTATCGTCCGATACACAAAGTATCGGTCGGTTGGTCGATACGCGATCATTTTTCAAGTCTGATATGCTATTCGTATCGATTAGTTTATACTGACTTTGTTCGAGTTTGTTAAACTGCAACTGATATCATGACTATGACCGATACTGCGAATGGAGAGAGGTGCATGTGGGTGATAAGAGAGAATAGTTAGGGGATGGGTCCATTGAACTAAATTGTCTTGGTGAGGAGTGGGAGGTGGCATAGTGGATATGTTGAACACTTGATGGACCAGAATGTCCAAGTGTCTAGGCATTTTCATTGGTTGTTGGAGATGACTAAAGGGACTGTAGCATATCTGTTGTCAGTCCAGCTATTCCTAAGGAGGATATTAACTGGAATTTGACATTTGGGCCACAAGACAACCAATTGAACAAACAATTGTAAATTGAATTCGGTCGAATTCGGTCTTTAAATTATTATCTATAATCCCTCTA